TCTAATTTAATTTCATTATGATCTGATAGAATGCAGTGTAGTATCTCTATTTTTTAATATTTGCTAAGAGTTGCTTTGTGGCAAAATATATGGTCTATTTTAAAGAAGGATCAATGTGCTGCTGAGAATAAAGTGTATTATCTCATTGAAGGATGAAATATTCTATGTATGTCAGTTAAGTCTAAGTTATTGACTATATTATTTACTTCTATAGTTTCTTTGTTCAGCTTTTGTTGCAAGATCTATCTAGTGATAAAAGAGGTGTGTTAAAGTCATCCAAAATTATTGTGTTGTGGTCTATTTGACTCTTGAATTTTAGAAGAGTTTGTTTGATGAACATAAATGCTCCATTGTTTGGGGCATATATATTTATAATTGTTAAGTCTTGTTGGTGTATAGTTCCCTTGAGTAGTATGTAGTGTCTTTCTTTATCCCTTTTGATTGACTTTAGCTTGAAGTCTACTTTATTTGATATGAGGAAGGAAACCTCTGCTTGCTTCTGCAGTCCATGTGGTTGGTATGATTTTTCCCAACCCTTCACCTACAGTCTGTTGATATCTTTTCCTATGAAATGAGTCTCTTGGAGGAAGCATATTGTTGGGTCTTTTTTTTTTAATCCAATCTGCTGGTCTATGTCTTTTGATTGGTTATTTTAAGCCATTAACATTCAGGGTTATTATTGAGAYATGATTTGTATTCCCAGTCATTTTGTTTTAGTATTTAACGTGACTTGGTTTCTACTCTGATTAAATTTTCCTTTAGTATAATACTTCCCTCTGATGATTCTCACCATTGTTTTTTATTTCCTCTTCGTGGAATATTTTGCTGAGGATGTTCTGTAGTACAGACTTTCTAGTTGTAAATTCTTTTAACTTTTGTTTATCTTGGAAGGTTTTTATTTCATCATCAAATCTAAAGCTTAATTTTGCTGAATATAAGATTCTTGGTTGGTATCCATTTTCTTTCAGAGCTAGGTATATGTTGTTCCATGATCTTCTGGCTTTGAGGGTCTAGGTTGAAAAATCTGCTGAGATATGAATTGGTCTCCCCCTATATGTGATCTGATTCCTCTCTCTTGTGGCTTTTAAGATTCTATCCTTATTCTGTATTCAAGGMATTTTCATTATAATGTGCCTTGGTGTAGATCTGCTGTATTTTGTATATTTGGTGTCCTGTAAGCCCTTTGTATTTGGTTTTCCAATTTGTTCTTTATGCTTGGGAAATTTTCTGATATTATTTCATTGAAGAGATTGTGCATTCCTTTGGTTTGAAACTCTGTGCCTTCCTCTATCCCAATAACTCTTAGATTTGGTCTTTTGATGCTGTCCCATAATTCTTAGATGTTCTGTTCTGGTTCCTTACCATCTTCACTGTGTAGTCAACTTTATTTTCCAGATTGTATACTTTGTCTTCATTATCTGACATTCTTTCTTCCAAGAGAGCTAGTCTGTTGATTATGTTTTCTATTGAGTTTTTAATTTGGTTTATTGTATCCTGCATTTCAAGGATTTCTGACTGATTTTTTTTTAGAGTCTCTATCTCTTTAAAAAAATATATTTATTTATTTATTTTTAGGTATAGATGGACACAACACAATGCCTTTATTTTTATCTGGTGCTGAGGATCAAACCCGGGTCCCACCTGTGCCACAATCCCAGCCCTCTATCTCTTTCTTGAAGTAATCTTTTGCTATCTGTATTTGCTTTCTTATCTCTTTGTTGGAGTGACCRATTTTTGCCTGTATTTGCTCATTTACGTCATTCTTTAATTCACAGATCATTTTAATTATGAACCTTCTAAACTCCTTCTCTGACATTTCATCAACTTTGCTGTCTATGGGTTCTATTATTATAGTATCCTGATCTGTTTGGGGCACTTTCCTCCCTTGTTTTTTCATGTTGTCTATGTGTCTTTCCTTCTTGCAGTGTGGATCTGAGATATTACAGTTTCTACCCTATATTCTTGTAGTACCTGTCTACAGATTGTCTGTACCTCACCTTGATGTTGGGCTTCCAGACTCTGGTGTCCCTCAATGTATGCTATTGCAACTAAAGGTGGTCACTGTAATAGCCAAGGTAACTCGAGATAATAGTGGTGGTGCCCAAGATGGAAGCAATGTCTTACAGACTGAGGGGCTGGGGAAATAGCTCAGTTGGTAGAGTGCTTGCCTAGCATGCACAAAGCCCTGGGTTCAATCCCCAGCACTGCCAAAAAAAAAAAAGAAGGAAAGATAATAGAAGAGACACAATTCCAAATTTAAACTTTGCCTTTGGTCTTTGAATTAATCTCAAAATCAACAGTGGACCACATGACTTAAGAAATAACACAACTCTGGGCCATCAGTGTGATTAGGCGAATAAAATTGGGGATTTTTCTTCATCCCGTGCTTATACTGATGTTGGAATTCCTAACTGAACGCAACACAACAGTACAAGCTTCCTGGCTTAAACCAATGGRCATTGCTAAAAATGATAAAATGATAAAATAAAATAAAAGTGATACTCTTTTTCAGGCATGTGCCACCACACCCAGCTTAAAAAAAAACCAAAAACCTTTTTTTTTTTTTTTAATATTTATTCTTTAGTTTTCGGCGGACACAACATCTTTGTCTTTTAAAATTACTTTTTGTCTTTTAAAATTTTATTTATTTATTTATTAACATTTCATAGTAGTTTTGGAGATATTGCTTAGATATCTCCAAAACTACTATCGAACCCGGGACGCACGCATGCTACTGCTTGAGCCACATCCCCAGCCCCCCAAAAACCTTTTTAAATATTTTGGTGAATAAGATCTTTTTGAGCAAGACACAAACTATAAAAAATAATAATAGGTCTAAAAGCATAAAAATATTTTAATATCTGAAAAATAAAGCAGACATGGCAAAATTAAAGACAAGAAACAGACTTAAGATAATAGAATATATGTTACATCTTATTTAAATTTTTTTTCTTTATTTCTAATAAGTTTAAACACTTGGGTATAGAGATCCATATAATGCATAATCAGACACTCATTACATATTTTGGATATGGCCATGTATAAGTAAGTATCTGCAAATAGGTGAGGAAGTTACAAATGCTCAAATAGAAACTGGACAAAGAATATGAACGAATAATTCAAAGAGCAAACCATATAAACAATCAACACTTAAAAAATGTTCAACCCCACTAGAAATCAGGAAAAAACTAACTTAAACATGAAATCATATTTTTAACTTCAAGTTGGGGAAAAGAAATTGAAAAAAAGAGTGTTTAGTAAAGAATCAAGGAAACAGGCCTTTATATATAGTATTGTATACATGCAAATCCTAGGGAAATTTTTGAAAGAATAGTATTTTGAAATTTTATAGATCATTCAAGAACTCTCCTTATAGAAATTTTTCCATGAAAAGTATCTATACTTGTGTGCAAAGTTATGTTTATAAAAATCTTTTCTGCTGCATTGTTGATAATGATGAAAAATGAGAAAGAAACCAAATGTGCACCCACTGAAGAGTAGTCAGTCACTTGAGTAGTGGTAGAGACATATTCTAAAGCACTATATTGTCATTAACCAGAATAAGCTTAGACCAACATGCACTGGTATGGAAAAGTCCSAAGACACACTTTAACCCCCTTGATGGTATCCTTTATATTTCATATTTTGAAATGTACATTCCTATAACACATAAATTTTGTGTCCAAGATTCTGTTCTACAGAAACAGAAAAGCTATCACGATCTAAGCAATATCTCCAAAACTACTATGAAATGTTAATAAATAAATAAATAAAATTTTAAAAGACAAAAAGTAAAAATATCAGAAATCTGTACAAAACCAGAAGATTTTAAAGAACTCACTCATCCCTCGCCCAACCCTGTTCTGCTACAGGAATACAGAAGATTGTAATTAAGAAAAATAAATAAATAATCTAGAGACTGTGATGAGGTCATCTTGAAAACACATTCAGAGGAAGCTRAAACCTTAGAGGAAAGACTGAAAAATTATTAACCTGAAATAAACAGTGGATGAAAAATTTAAGATGAGTTACAGTGCAAAGATGTGAAATCTCTCTTTCTCTAGGTGTCTGTAGAATTATAATTGTCTCTTCTACATCTGTAAAGGTTTAAATATTTGGCATTTGTCTAAGTACTCAGTGGAAGAAAGACAGAGGTTACTCACAACAAGATAGTGCTCTGATTTTCCCAGTGGAAGTACCGGTTCCTTTCTAAATACATGAGCTCTATTTTAGGGGGCCTGAAATCAAAATTTTCATGGTTGAATTGTTAACACATTATCTTTATGTGGTTTAGATTTCTAGTTTAAGCCAGTGGAGATTGCTAAAAACTACGATACAAGGTTTCAGTACATTAAAAGATGCTCCAGTTGTATGTTGACAACCTGGCTCGCAGATTCCAGGAAATTTCAGGGTCAAAAGCCAAAGAGATTTTACCCTCAACCTGTGTATAGTCATAGCCAGATATCAACATTACTATTTTTTCCTTCAAAAAATAAAATATACCCTATCTTTACTCTCTTAAAGTTATGTAAACATACATTGATTCTGCCTTTCAGTCTTTCATGTTCTTTTCCCATGTACACAATAAGGTGGAAATTCAATTATGCCAATTTTTTTTAAAAATTAGGCCAGCCACAATGGTGCACACTTGTAATACCAGCAGCAAACCTCAGCAATTTAGAGAGACCTTAAGCAAGTTAGTGAGACCCCCATCTCAAAATAAAATATTTTTTTAAGGGGTAAGGATGTGGCCCAGTGGTAAACACCCCAGGTTCAATCCCTGGTATCAAAAAAAAAAAAAAAAAAAGATAGCACTACTCCATTTTTGCCAGTGAAATACATTGTTCCAGGTACATATAAGGATTTTAGTAAGTTTTAACAAGTCTCACTCATATATACTTGATTCTAAAATAATTATTGCTCTGCAAGCTGTCTTTGGATTACAGTATGCTAAGCCAATGTTTGTTTTCTACTGTAGGTGAAGAAGCTTTTGGTGGTTCATGGAGCTTCCATTCACCAACCTAGAAGTGGCATTCATTTTACTGGCTTTTGTTATCTTTTCCTTATTTACCCTGGCTTCCATCTACACTAGCCCGGATGACAAGAATGAAGGTAAAGAGAGAGAACTCTTTGTGGCTGCCCTCTGTTTCCTTTCTCTTCACCACCATCTTCTGTATGGTTGAATTTGTTTTGGTTTCTATTCTGTATGTGAGGATGAGTTTCTTTTGTTTTGTAACATGTATGTGTGTTTTCACTCAACATATGGAAAGGAAAAGGATCTGAATTTTTTTAAAATAAGTTCTTGTCAAAGCCCAAACATTTGAAAAATATGTAGAAGTATTTTTAAAACCCTATACCACACATGTTTTGCTCATTGCCAATAATAATTGTTAACAACAGAAGGATATAATTTAAATGGTTGTGCTTGGTAGTTCAGAGCCCACCAAGTTTCATGCAAAATTGATGATAACTGGAGGAGTATTATGTTTTAAGAACAAAAAAAATTATATATTTATGTGTAAATACATGCCAAGGAAATTATATGTATTTGTAGAGAATAAGATAAAATCATACAAATCAAATTTTGCTTGTTTTTCCTAGTCAACCCCACCCACCCACACACATGCAAGAATGCGCACACGCACGCACACACATACATATTAATTCTTAGCTGTAAAAGAAGTGCYATCTGTTAAATAAAAGACTTTTCTCTGTCTTATAGACATATGCTACCTAGAAAATGAAAGCCACAGCAAATAGACATTCCAATTCATGCTGACACAGTTTGGGAAACTTTTTCTGCTTCACAAATTGTTTACATTGCTTTAATTTAAAGTGGGTTTGGCTGAAAGAAAGAATAAAACCAAAATAGCAGTTACTTTAACTGGATAATAATGTATTTTCTCTCACATGGGAAAGGAAGCCTGGAGGAAGTGAGTTCAAGGCTGACATGGCACTCTGTGATGTCCTGGACCCAGGCTACTACCTGGGTGATCTGCCACGTTCAACCTACAGCATCCCCATCACGGCCAGGATGGCTGACCCATCTTTTGCTACYTGTTATGCATGCCAGTTAGTCAAAAGAAAGAAAAAATAAGAATGGCTCACTGTCTCCTTTCAAAGCACCTGCAAAGTTTGCATGTGCCATTTTCTTCTGTCCAGCCTTTAGAACACAGCTAAGAGAAGTTTGAATATGTAATTTTTATTCCTAGAGGTAACATGCCCAGCTAGAATTTTTCTTCCTAAAGGAAGAAAAGTAAAATCATCAGTGCCTACCACACATGTGCCCTTAGTCATGCCATCATTACACACCTGGTAGTCATAACTCAGGGAAGATTTGAGCTTAAAAAAAAATGTTAAGAGTCCATGTCCATGTGATCTCCTGATTCTTAACCAGACAGGTGTCATGAAAGACACCTCACACTTGGGGCTAATCACAGACCTAGTGAATATGCATTTCTAGGTGTGACACTTTGCCATAAGTCTTTAAACAAGCTCCCCACATTAGTCTAGCTTTTGTACCTGACCTAAAAGTACAGAATCTAATTATTCATACCGCAGATGTAACAACAGAAATCCAAAAAGTTTTCATGAGTGTCTCAGGAATTCAATTAGTAGAATATCCAAAATTAGAACACAAGTCCCCTATCCCCAACTCCAGGATTACTACCCCATATTCTACACTACATTTTCTATCTAATTAGAACCCATGAGCATGAGGACCAAAAGGATTGAACCAGCCACAGAAATTTAACTTGCCAATGTATTTTCACATTCAATTTTTCATAACTTTTTCTCCAGCTCTATTCCTCTATATCTGATGTTCATTTCCCAAGTCAAAGCTCCTCCATTTGAACACTATTACACTCAGCAGGGTAGATCACTGACAAAATTACAACTACCTGCTAACAGATTCCCAACAAAGAACATTTTTACCATAGCATTTGTCTCCTCACAACCAGCAGAACAGACATAAGCACAATTTCATTTGAAAATACAAAAGATGTACACTTTCTTATGTGATAAGGTCTATGAATAAAATCTATCTTCATTAAAATAGCAGAACTAGGGCTGGAGATATAGCTCAGTTGGTAGAGTACTTGCCTCATATGAACAAGGTCCTAGGTTCAATGTCCAGCACCACACACAAAAAAAGGGGACTATTTTAATTTTTTTCTTAGCACCAGTACAGCATTGCAGAAGCCATTAGTAATAAACTTAAAAGGTCCTGATTTAATTTAACACACATTTGTTGAAAATATAAGTTAAATAATGGAGGATCCAAAGATGGATAGGACTTGGATCCCCCCACCCAACTCTGATAGTATAGTGGAAAATTCAAGTGTGCAACTAGATAAAAATGGAGTAAATGGAATACCAGTGGTTCTTATTAAGGATGATAAGATTAGAATGGAAAGATCTTCCTCAGGGACATTGAGACAGGCTTCACAGAAGAGACAGTCATCTTGGTGCAATTGGATGTTGAAATAGGTCTGGACAAAGTAGAATAGGGTAAGGTGTAGTGGGATGAATTCCAAGCATCAAATTCTAATTCAAATTCTACCAAATTATAAAATTAATTCTTCAAATTAAGTCATATTTATTCAATATATAAAATGATCTATAATTGGAAATGTGCTTAAGTCCAACAAGAAACTCAGAAGAACTGACAACTGGCCAGAAACTTTTCAATCCTTTCAGAGGTGAAGAGATAAGGTGAGCCTTTTAATGGTATTGCCCTTACACCTAAGGGATGAAGGCCCCACACCTCAGTGTCCCACTTTGGGGCAGAGGTTTTCAAACTCTAATGTGCACAGAAATCATCCAAGATTTTGTAGAGAAATAGACTATGTTTGAGTGAACAAATAAAGAAATTCCTTCAATAAGTTTTTTTAAAAACTAGACTATGACTCAGTAGATCTTGGTGGGGCCTGAGTTTTCATTTCTAACAAGTGACCATGATCCTTCACAGGATGACTTCAGCCACTGATGTACACAACCCTAAGCCTTAGAGTGGCCAAGGTCACCTGTGGGCAAAGGTGAGGAGGGAGTTTGGGGTGTTCACGTGCCCACAAGCAAAGCCCTTCATGGTGCAAGACAGAGACAGTGTTGGGACAAGAAGGGGCCACAGACACTCTTATACTACTCTTGCCTTGGTTTCCACAGACATTCAGAGCCTGCAGGTTCAGATTTAAGAAAATATGTTATTGGTTTAGAAGAGTTCATAGTCATTCTTTACAAATCAGAATATTTTCATATTTTAAGATCTCTACAATTCTTAATAGTTTATGAATTCACTATCTCATTTCTAATTAACATTTTCAATTATTTTACTCCACAACTTTATAGAAGGGATTAATTAAGATAATTTCCTTTGTTAAAAGAATAGTATGATTTTGTTATTAAACTCTCCTGGGTTCATGCCCTGCTATTTGGTAACTCTGTGACTTAGGGCAAATTGCACATTATCAAAGACGTCATTCTGTCATTTGAATATTGAGTATAATAATATAATAGTACCTGCCTCATGGAGTTGAAGTGAGAATTAAATTAAATAAAGCATTTAACAGAGGTTTATTGGAGTTTTCTTCTCTAGCTTCTCCATGATTAGTATAGAACAATAAGGGTCATTATAAGGTAAAGGAAATATTTCCTATAGAACCAATACAATTTGTACTCAGGCTGGAGATGTAGCTCAAGCGGTAGTGCGCTCGCCTGGCATGCGTGCGGCCTGGGTTCGATCCTCAGCACCACATACAAACAAAGATGTTGCGTCCGACAAAAACTGAAAAATAAATGTTAAAATTCTCTCTCTCTCTTTAAAAAAAAAAAAAGAATACAATTTGTACTCAACCAATATGCTAGGTCAATGTTTTTGTTTTAAATATCAAGCAATAAAATAAATTCAATTTAAATTAACTTCAGAGTAACATCACATATCTTACAAAAGTCTAATGTTAGAGAAGGGTTAGGGCTACCTGAATCCTTTAAGCAAAGCCATTGAAAATAAACACCTAATAGAATCAGACATCTATCAAATGAAGAAGAAAAAGATATTCAGGTGCTTCAAAAAAGAATGAAATGAATATTGAAGGATTGAAAGATACCTCAGAAAACTGATAAACATTTGAATATTTTTCAAAAATGGTATCCTCTATAAAGTAGGGCAATGAAAATCACAAATAACAATATTACTGAATGAAGCTGTGACATAAGTATGTCAAAAAAGTGATCCAAATCAACATCTCATCTCTGTTCTAAAATTAGTTTATACTTGCTATTACAAACTGTATTGATTAGATAAGTACTATATTTATTAAATAATAATGTAAACTGTTTTTTAGATAAATGATAATTTTATCTTCATCATTTTTAGTTTCAATTTTCCAGATAGAATTCATTTGAACTTTTTTTTTCTTTCTTCTACTAAATTTTGTCATCATTCAAGTTCACTTTTTTTTTTTTTTTTTTTTTTTGGTACTGGAGATTTAACCCAGGGATGCTTAACCACTGAGCCACATCCCAGCCCTTTTTAATATTTTATTTAGAGACAGAGTCTTGCTGAGTTGCTTAGGGCCTTCCTAAGATTCCTAGGCTGGCTTTCAACTATCCTCCAGCCTTAGCCTCCCAAGCCAGTAGCCAAGCTCAACTAGATCCACTTTAAATGACCTTTTCCAGTACCATTTATTTTCAGATTAAAAATAAGTTTCCTGTTACAGAGTTATATATGCAATCATCAGTTATCATCTAAGAAATTAGTTGAAGGCATGCTCATTAATCTAGTCACTGGTAGAAAGTGGTCTGAAAATGTAGTTCTTTGCTTTACACCCAGCCCAGAGAATAAAACTGACAATACTGAACATTACCTGAGCTCTGCACTTCTGAAAAACAGCTATGGTTAAGATACATACACCTAACCCTCTTCTTCCAAAATCCCTTCACTCTCATGTTCCAGGAAGTGGCTTTACCCAAAAGAACTACCTTTTCCCATATGAAGTGGATAAGATTCACCGTCCACTTTTCCCACGACCTCTGTAAGACTTAGAAGGACTCCCTTGTTGACCTGAGACAGGGACAAACACAGACTTTTCCTTTTTTGCCTACAACTACTGACAAGGACAGATGCAGACCTTCTAATGCCCTGTCCTTTGTCATATTGAGATTAGAACTATTTGTCTCCTTG